TTTGTGAATATAGTAGAATATTTATAAAAAAAAAATTGTCAGATTTTATTATTTAGAAGACCCAACACATAATAAAGATTTGTTTGATTATATAGTTACATCTAGTTACCTATAATATGGACACATTTAGTTTTATAGTGGATTTGATTTTTTGTATTTCTCGGTACATTTGGAATGTAAATGTACCAAAAGGGTTATCTGATAGAGACATTTGGTTTTGTGGTACATTTGTGATTTTTTGTTCATTTGATCTTTTGGTACATTTGGAATCTAAATGTACCAAAAGGGTTACCTGACAATGAGCATATTTGGTTTTATGATACATTTGAAATTTTGATACATTTGGTTTCTCTGTACATTTGAAATCGAAACGTACCAAAAGGGTTACATAACAATGGGTATATTTGATTTTATGGTACATTTGAATTTTTGGTACATTTGGTTTCTCGGTATATTTGAAATCTAAACGTACCAAAAGTCGATACTTTTGTTCTCAAATGTACCATAAGTTTTAAGTATATTTTTTATATATCTATACATGAAAAAAATATGTATTGAAGACTTTTTATTGAGACATTTTTAATAGAAAGAGATTTTTTTTTTTTAAATACTGATAATAAGGTAACGAGGAATTAGTTAATTAATTTTTTATTTTATTTTATTAAAAAAATGTCATTTAATGCGTAGAAGGGGATTGATGAAATTAAATTCCTATATTATAGGCAATTAGATGCTAAGCTACCTTATGCCTCTATATAAATGCATTTAAATTAATGACATGAAGATTAAATAAATAGAAAATTATTGAGGGTGGCAAATGATCAAAGCACCTTAATCAAATCTTTAAAAGGGATGAATGTTTAATCTAACAACTATAGAAAAGATGTAGGACATTCTAATTTTCCCTATAAAATATGACTCGAAAAAGTTAGGGCATGTTCATTAACGTTTTGCAAGGTTTTGCAAATACTAAAAGGGTTGAAAATGCTTTTGGCAGAGTGTTTTGTGAAATTAAACTTAAAAAACGAAAAACAGAGAAAATAATATTTAACTTAAGTTCTGTAGAACATCAAACTGATGCTTCCTCTGATTTTCAAGAATAGTTATCAAAAGTAAGAGATACATTACAAAACAAAGAGAATTTTAATAAAAATAAAATGATGTATGCCACCATTGTTGTCATCATGGCAGCCACCACCACCAGCAGCACAACAACATTCTCCATTGTCCCACCATCATCTCCACCGTTGTGACCATCTTTAACACCACCATGTCCCACCACCGCCAACATCCTTGCCACCATGGCCACCGTCACCTCTTTCTTAGCCACCATTATCAATCTTGCCCACCTTTCAACCACCATTTCATAACTATCCCTAAACAACCATTGTTATAACAACCATCCCCTGCTACCTTTGCAACCGCCGCCGCCACCAATCCCTCCACCATTGCCCCCTATCTCGCTATTGTCACCACATATATCCTACCACTGCTAACATCTCACTAACCACCATTGCTACCTCTCGTCTCAACATGACACGCCCCGATTCCGATATTCCTCCATTACTAGGATGGGCATGTGCTGGCCGACACCCGAGGGTGACGAAACCATTTCAACATGCATGCAAGTTATAAAGAAAGAACAAACGTAAATAAAATATGTAAATTTGAATATAATGAAGTATGCAATTGCAGGAATGTGTTCAGAATATACAACTAATCAAGAAGAGTACGAAAGGAATATTTTAAAAATAAATGAGATTACAAAGAAAGTGGGTCCCACACCGAGAAGACTCGAAGATACCGTTGTGGAAGTGCCCTGCCGCCGGGATCGTATGCCTCAAAATACTACATAGTAGGTTTTCTAAAAACTCTAGCATGTCACGAAAAACGTTCGTAAAACATGTACGTGTAAACCAGTGCTCAATAATGGTAATATAGTCGCCCGAAGGCAAATCCGTAAAATATCCGTAAATCACATCAATGATGTACTCAACTAGGGGTATCATAGTCGCCCGAAAGCATATCCATCACCCGAAGGTGAAGCTGTACGACAATGGGTTATGCCAGTGAAGAAACATTATAGGTCCATCACCTGAAGGTGAAGTTGTACAACTCTGGGTTACGCCAGAGAAGAAATATACATACACACACACACACACACACACACTTCACCAGAGAAGCTAGGAGTATGTCATAAATATCCTCAACTGTGTCCTATAGCCATAGACGTCTACATACTTGTGCTGTGTGTATGTGCTTTATGATTACCCACTAGATAAGCACCGAAAAACATAATCAAAATCTCATAGCAAGCTTAACATTTAAAATCTCGTCATCTGAAATCATAAGCAATTCCATAAACGTGATTTCCATAAATATGCCATTTTATAAACCTTAAATAGATGAATCAAAACTATTTCATAAAAGTGAATAAATCATGAATTCTCCAAAATCATAAATATAGAAATCCGTAAAACATAATATAAAACATACTCAATTCATGAAATAAGAAATGCATGCAAGCCTAATATTTTATGAAAACATGCAATTTAAGAAGGGGTCCACTCGCAAATATTCCATTGTCGAGGAGCTGCTCGAACTAGAGAGGACAGAGTCACTTCCCACCAACACACCTAAACACAAATAGAGACCATTTAATAAAACTCTACTAAAACGTTAGAATTTGGGAAAAGGGACAACAGATTCGGATTCGGCATGTCGAAAAACCTAAGAAATGACCTTGGGTTCCCCCATGCGCCACCACACAAGCCAAGATGGGTCATCGAAAAAGTCGCCAAAAAATTCATCAACGCCGCCATGGATGGTGGCGGAGCACAGTACCTCTAGTGGTGGTGCGTGTGCTCCACACACCGGCCATGACAGCCCTCTTCACGCGGACCATGGAAACTGGGATTGGGTCCGAGTCGGGTCTGGGTTTTGGGTTGTTGGGTTGGACTGGATTATTGGATTGGGCCTAGTTGCTGGGTTGGATTCGATTTTGGGTTGTGGATCAGGTCGACTCAATTTTAGGCCGTGGATCGGTAGGAATATGGGCAAAGTTTCTAGAGCTCCATTCAAGCTCATTTATTTACCATTTTCAACATTCTAGATATGAAAATGAAGCTTAGAATGAGAAGAAGAGGTTCATACCATTTTGGGGCTGTGTCGTGGTCAGAGTTGGCCGAAAAACCACTTGAAAGTCGACGGACCCTCTCCGGAAAATTGTGTTTGGGGTCCCCGCGTCATTTCTACATCTAATCACGCCAAAGCGCACATGAATGGGTTAGTCTTCATCGAAAGGTGAGGGCAAGATACTTTGAATGGTCTAGAACCTTACCCTCTGTCGAGAACGATGATAAGTCGCGGTGATTCGTCGGGGAAGATGATGAACAGTGACTTACCGTGTAAAGGGAGAAAGACCAATGAGCTCAGGGCTCATCCCATTGTCTCTAGTCAAGTGAATGGCTAGTGATAATAGGGTTAGGGTATCGTAGTCTCGCCTAGGTAGGGTGGCCCAGTGTCCTGGGTTTTACAAAGGGGGGAGAAAGTGATGAGAGGAAAGGAGAGTTTGAGAGAGTCCGAGAGTATTGGGGGGGGGGGAGGAAAACACAGGGACGAAGGGGAAATGAGGTGTGGGCCCCATGGCCACACCCTCTAGAAAATTATTAAAATAAAACAAATATCCAATCTTAATATGTAGAATAGTGAATTGACTACTTTGCCCCTTGACTTCGTAATTTTGTAAAACATTCATCGTAACTTCGAATTTGATTCTGCTTGCGCCCACACATCCATAATGCTGAGTACTACAAGGATACGCCAAGGAAACGAATCTTATGTGAAACGACAAGGCGGTCAACAAAAGTCAACGCTTTTGCCTTGAGGGGTATTCTTGTAAATTCATGTTTTAAAATTATAAAAACTGTAATATTTGGAGACGGGTTGCCATCTCTACCACCGCTGCCATTGCTATCAATCACAAATTTAAACTTTTTTTTTTTAATTTCAAATATTGGTATCATACAGGTTTTCATTCTAAAAAATCATTCTCTGATTAAACTACCAAACAATTTTCCAATCATAAAAATGCAAAATTTTGTTTGTCGTTTTCATTTTACAAAATCGTTCTTCAAAAATCATTGTGTAGAACGTCATCGGGACGTGCCCTTAGTTATCAATATACGTCCTTATATGTTGGTACCTCTTTTGGTATTGCATTTTAAATTAGTTCTGAGATTGCCAAGGCATCAGCCACATTACACTATCAAATTTGAATTTTCCCATTCAATAGATTAAACTAGTTCAAAATATCCATGTTAAAAACTTAATTTTATGACAGCCAAAACCTTCAAACCTAATTACTTAGTTCTTTCTACACCAATTTGATGATCTTGTACTTGGTATCATCATATTGCTGCTATCTTCCTGCTAGTACTCTATAAAATTGACATGAAAAGCTTTATGGTACAAATATGCAAGGCATTTAATATATTTGGGTAATGAATTTACTTGCTTTGTAGACTTTAGTGACATATCAGAAAACTTGCAAGATTTCACATTGCTAATGATATTGGTTTGTATTAATTTTAACACCAAACACAGTTGATACATTCCAAATTCCACAGGAAAAGTTCTTAATTAAGAAAACCTAATCTCAACTGCTTCCTCTTACAAATTCAGAATTAATCCAGAATGTCAAATAGTTGTAATCCTTTTTTAATAATATATTTTTCAACTATTATAGCCTGTTCTGCATGATCTAATCTAAGACTATTTCAAGTACATTTGCATGAAGACCCTTATTGTGCAAAGGCTAGTGGGAACCCATTATCCCAACTGCTAGACTACAGGTTGGAAACTTCATTTAACATTAAACAAATGCTTCTGTGATTGAAGGGATCACTATATAAGCTGTGAAACTGTTTTCAGTTCTCACTCAAAAACAACCATTTGGTCTTGAAGTTGAAGACATACAAGTCACACAATGGCCAGTCATTGGCCATACCTGGTTTATGCCGTGGCTATATGCATGATAGCCACAAATGTAGCAGCTAATTATGACAAGCCTTATGTTCATTCATCTCCACCACTACCTCCATCTTCATACCTACCACCCTATTTCTACAGGTCATCCGCTCCGCCGCATTATCGTCACCAAACACCGCCTTACTACAAGAAATCACCACCTCCTCCATCACCATCATCCCCACTTCCCTATGTTTACAAATCTCCACCACCACCACCTCCCTCACCTCCCCCTCCTTATGTCTACAAGTCACCATCACCTCCTTCTCCATCCCCGCCTCCTCCTTACATTTATAAATCACCACCACCACCCTCACCATCACCTCCTCCTCCTTATGTGTACAAATCTCCACCATCACCCTCAACATCACCTCCTCCTCCATATGTATACAAGTCACCACCTCCACCTTCTCCATCACCTCCCCCTCCTTATGTCTACAACTCACCACCTCCTGCTTCACTGTCCCCACCTCCGCCTTACATTTATAAGTCCCCACCACCAACTTCGTCCTCACCTCCCCCTCCTTATGTCTACAAGTCACCACCACCTCCTTCTCCATCACCCCCACCTCCCTATGTTTACAAGTCCCCACCACCACCTTCACCCTCACCTCCCCCTCCTTATGTCTACAAGTCACCACCACCCCCTTCTCCATCACCCCCACCTCCCTATTTTTACAAGTCCCCACCACCACCTTCACCCTCACCTCCCCCTCCTTATGTTTACAAGTCACCACTACCTCCTTCTCCATCACCCCCACCCCCCTATGTTTACAAGTCCCCACCACCACCATCTCCCTCACCTCCCCCTCCTTATGTTTACAAGTCACCACCACCTCCTTCTCCATCCCCTCCTCCTCCATACATTTATAAATCACCACCACCTCCCTCCCCATCACCTCCTCCACCATATGTTTACAAGTCACCACCACTTCCTTCCCCGTCCCCACCTCCTCCATACATTTATAAATCACCACCACCTCCTTCCCCATCACCTCCTCCACCTTCTATCTACAAGTCACCACCACCGCCTTCACCATCCCCACCTCCTCCTTACATTTACAAATCACCACCACCTCCTTCTGCGTCCCCATCTCCTCCATACATTTATAAAACACCACCACCTCCTTCCCCATCACCTCCTCCACCTTATATCTACAAGTCACCACCTCCTCCTTCTCCATCCCCACCTCCTCCTTACATTTATAAATCACCACCACCAAGCTCACCATCACCTCCTCCACCATACATTTACAAGTCACCTCCTCCTCCATCCCCATCACCTCCACCACCCTACATCTACAAGTCACCACCACCACCGTCTCCATCACCTCCTCCTCCATATGTATATAAATCACCACCACCACCACCACCTTCTCCTTCACCCCCACCTCCCTATATTTACAAGTCACCACCACCCCTATCTCCTTCACCCCCACCTCCTTATGTTTACAAGTCACCACCACCCCCATATCCATCACCTCCTCCCACATTCCCATCACCACCTCCTCCTTATTTCTATAAGTCACCACCTCCACCATCTCCCTCGCCACCACCGTATTATTACGCGTCTCCTCCACCACCCACTCATAAATACTAAAATTTTTGAATTCCTATTATATCTCTTCATGTAAGTGAACCTTGCACCTCTCTCTCTCTAAGTGAACCTTGCACCTCTCTCTCTCTCTCTCTCTCTCTCTCTACAAATCTTCTTTATTTTTGTTAACAGTCAATATTGTTTACATTGCAGGTTCCAGATTGGTAGCACAAATAATTTCTGCAAGAGAGAGCTTCACCTTGTACTTGTTTACTTGTGATCAGTCTAAAGTGCGGCCCGAAAACTTGTTGAGAATAAGTGGATTAGCATGGACGTTGTCTTTTTCAGCTTTCTTGCAATTTATACTTTTTATTTTTTATTTTTTAATTTGTCATACACTAGATATATGTTGCTTGTGAGTTCATTATTGGTTACATATGCTGAAATTTGTTGTAATTTATTTATTACAGCCCTGAAGGTTTTGAAATTAATAAAATAATCTTATTTGAGGGATGCCTTGTTGAACGAATACTGTGGTTATAGTTCTTCTATCCAAACTACTTATTTTAACGGTCTAAAATATCTATTTTTCAAATAATTCATATATCATCTTTGAACAATAGAAAAAAAAAAAATTTAAATCTAAAATCATTAAGTCATTTAACTGTGTCAGTAAAACGATGTTAAAGTAATCCAATGACCTTATTGTTAGGCCTTGTGAGAGTATAAGTAAACTCTCAAACTACTATAATCGTTGAGTAACAATGAATGAAAACAAAATCAGTTTCTCTCTCTCCCTCCGTTTCTGGTGCGGCTAATTCTTGATTGATGATTATCATCGCCACTGTTGCGAAATCCTACTACAATTTCTAATTCATGACATTGTTCACAACAACTCTCGTCACAATCAGCAATTTCTTGTGTATTTGGTAGTCCAAGTTCTAAAGGGATGTGGACAAATTTAAGGGAAAGATTTGCTAATGTTACAAAAACTAGCATCTTTCAAACGAAAACTAATCTACACAATGGGTTTGTATATGATGTTGGTTCTTCTTCTATAGTACCAAATCTCCCTATGGTTCAATGATGACAACATTGGGTACTCAAATACTAATCCTGGATTTGTAGTGTCATCGGGTGTTCCAAAGGAACCATATCACATCTCCACAACCTTTATCTACATTTCAGCTTCAACCTCCTTTTGGTTCTTATGCCAATTATGTTGCAAAATCTTCATAACAGCCTCTGATAAGTCATATTATTTTACATTTGTACCCTAATCTTAGTTATAATTTGTTTGTTATTAAGAAAATTTTAATACTTTGTTTTATATTTTGATTGTAGAACATGCAAATCTACTTTGTGCAAAAAGCGATGAAACAAAGGATTTTTGGAGTAATTATAATTGGAGTAGATTCAAGAGTCTTTCAAAATGATTGTGTTCAAAATCTCAGATTTTATTTCCAAACCGTTTGATCATGGCAATTAAATGGAGAAAGATGCACAGTGTTGTCAGATTGACATTTTTCGTTTTTTTTTTTTTTTTTATCAATACTTTATTGAAGATGACGTTTTTTTTTTTTTTAAATAAAAGTTTCATTTGCAAAGTTGTAGTCGACTTTTTTGTCATTGAAACGCCACCTCATAAGCCTGATTTGGAGCAGATTTTGGTCATAAAACGTGTGAACTTTGTGGCTGACCAGATTACCCAATTTAGAGTATGTGTTTTCTAGTTATATTATTTTATTTGGTTTTCCAGATTTGTTGGGAGCAGTGTTCTAAAAATCAGCCTAGGCGCTGGATGGTAGCCGACTGCCGCAATTAACTTGTAGTCAGTCATAAAATCGGAAAGCATATTAGGCAGACATTAGACGGGATTAGGTGGGACTAGGCAGGTCAAAGCGGGTCTAGGCGAGGCTAAACGGAGGCTAGGCGAGCGTATGTTAAGTTGCATGAATTGGAAAATTATATGTTGCAGAGGAGGTACGCAAGGAAAAAGAAGGACCGAGATTGTCCCACCATCTTCTGTTTCATTTTAAGGTACCGTTTGGTACGTGGGATGGGACAGAACATAATGGGACGGAACGCGCTCGTCCTACGTTTGGTGCACCAAAGATAATGGGACGCATTGTCCCAGGGAACGAAATTTGGGGTTTTTTCCGTTCCACCTCACCCCTTGGAATAGATGTTTGAGTAATACGTTACGCTTCGAAGTTGGAACACAAAAGAAACACTGCTTTCTGGAGAACATTTTTGTAGTAGTATACTATAATTAGTTAATTAGGTTTGATCCTCTCATTATGAATATTAAAATGTTATTTTTTTCAAAAAGTACTTCATGTATCTTTTTCTTGTTGGAATTAAGTCTTTAAAATAAATTATTAAGCCTTTAAAGTGCAAAAAAAACATATTACAGTCTATTGCTCTTCCTATTTACATGTAAATGAGAAGTTTTATGATCAAATCTCGAAAATAATAAATTTACAATCAATTTATTTTCTCATCCTGTTAGCATATAAAAATCGTTGTATAAATAAAAAAAAAATTACACCCTCTCTAGGTGGACTACGTATTTTTGCCCCACTCAATGGTTCAGATCTGGGGCTTTGGCCCATCATCTATCTTAATCTGAATGCCACATGGCCCATATGTATTTTGCATACGATTTATTGTTGTTACACCCCTAATACACATGATCATAACCTAGTCCCTCCCAACCTGTCGCTCAAACCTATTTTCCTTGTTCTTCTCTCTGCTTCCCACTTCGCGCTGCCGCGCACTCCATCGACTCACCTCAAAAGGCTTCTCCTTATTTCCGTCATATTCTTCCTGTAGGTAAGCTCGATGGCTTATTTTCTTTTAATCTTCGTGTTAATTGATTCTTGTTGGATTTTGTTTGCTTTTGTTTCTGTTTCTTGGTTTACTATATAGGATTAATTCATTAACTTGGTTTTTGAAATTATTTTTTTGCCTAAATTTCTGTCATCTGTGAGTTATGGCTTCCTGTTTGAATTTCTGATTTCTGTTTGAGCATTTGAATTGCTTTTATTTGTGTTTCTGATTTGTTCTGCAACTGGGTTTGTTTCCATTTGCATTTTGGGGCAGGCCCTGACGGTTTTCGGGGTTAGCTATGGGGTTTTGAACTTGTGGTAAAGTTTCACTTCACTGCCGACGTTATTGCTAAATAGTACTTAAGCCATTGGTTCAATCTCTTTCGGTATTTTGCTTCATATACATTGTTGGTCAGTTCTCAGACAACTTGAGCTTCTTGGGTTTTAGTGGATGTACGTCTAACATGGTATCAGAGCCTTTGGATTTCAGCGCTCAACACTTATTGTATAGATTTTCCTAGAACTTGGACTTAGAGTTCAGTTATGTTTTCTTTGCTCTGTCACCATTACAACTAACTCATAGTTTTGTGGTCTGACGTTTCTTTTCTGAGAATAAAAGTTCAACTTGTTAAAACATTAGACAGCGAAAAATTGGCAACCTTTGTTTCGAAACTCCCCTATTTCCCCTTTCTTGAGTTAACACGAGTAAATTATTATTTTTTTATTGAATACCTCCGTATTTAGAAATTTATCAAATATTTTTTGCAAATGCTTTTGTCACAGCTTCAGATAGTTATGTTGCCTTATGAAACTAAGTTCGTATGGACTTTACTATGGCATTTTGTGGTTTGTTTTGTGTTTAGATGGTGGTTCTGGAGCTGTTCATGTTTTTGTGCCTTTTGCATTGTTTTACTTATGTAACTCAACTGTTTGCATAATTTTTGTCAAAGAATATATCAAGCATACAATTCATGAGTAATTAAGTTTCTGCCAAATAAATATGAAGATGATTGCCTGAAATATTCTGTGATCGTTCTGGGAAGCCATGCTCCGCTGGTTGTGTGCCTCTTGAAAAGTGTTTAAATATTAATGAATGGTGCTGTGTTTAGGAATTATCAACAGTACAGAACCTTAGAAGACTTAACATAACACGGACAAAGATGAGACCTTTAGATGAGACTGAGACCACGACAGTGTTTGAAAAGCTGTTCAAGTTTACAGGCAACAACCTCAAGAACATTGTCGAGAATCCATCTCATGAAGGTCCAGACTCGGGTCCAGGTCGTTACTGCTTTCGCCTCCACAAGAACAAAGTTTACTATGTTAGCGAATCACTAGTAAAGCGTGCTACAAATATAGCTCGGACCCAATTAGTCTCTCTTGGCACCTGTATTGGTAGGTTCACTCATGGTGGTAAGTTCCATTTAACCGTTCAGTGTCTGAGTTTATTGGCATCAAATGCTAAACACAAGGTCTGGCTTAAACCTACCTCCGAGATGTCGTTCTTGTATGGAAACCATGTTTTGAAAGGTGGTTTGGGGAGGATTACAGAGAATATTGTGCCGGGTGATGGGGTGGTTGTGTTTTCAATGTCAGATGTGCCTTTGGGTTTCGGGATTGCTGCCAAGTCTACTCAAGATTGTAGGAAGTTGGACCCTAATGGAATTGTGGTGCTTCACCAGACTGATATTGGAGAGTACTTGAGGATGGAGGATGAGCTTTGAATAATTAGACGGGTTTTGAGTGGTTATGACAGATGTGTTGGTGTCTAATCAAAGATTTGTGCGGGACATATACGTCGATCTATCAGCTTTGATCAATTCGAGTTGAAGTTTTGTCGGATGTGGATTATTGTTGAACATTACTTTCATTAGTGATTCTGAGTTTTGATATAAATTCTATATGATCAGGAACTTCTGCAAGATGATTATTCTTACTTCAATTGTTGTACTATTCGTAAATTTGTTTTTGTCGTTCTGATTTTGATTTGATGATGCTGTTATCTAATTGCTGTAAGACCAAATTTCACTACACCGAATTGTTGTTTGTGAATGCACATAGACCAGCTAACTGTTAACCTCACTATGACCTATCGAAATAGCCAAATTATTTATTGCAAGTCCATTGTAGCAAATGAGTCTCTTACAACTTCATCTAACTCGACATCAATTGGAGATGGACTTACATTGGCACGGGTACGCTGCAATGCTGCATCATTGGCATGGGAGGCCATTGCGACGGTGTACTTGTTCCATGAAAGTTGTGGTGTTTGCATCAAACAACGGCTAGGATTTGAGTCTATTTTAACTGATAATAGCTTGTCTCATCCGGCCCATCAAACGGGCAGTGTCCAGAACTAAACCATATTCATGAGGTATTTTGAAGGAAAAATTTATGGCATTACTTATTAGGAACGGGAGCACTAGGTGTGTCTACTATTCTTATTTATGATGTTTCATTCGTTTACTAAAAAAAAAAAAAAAAAAAAAATGGTGAGAAGTCTTATGTTTGAATTTTGTGAATGATGAGTTCTGTAACGATCCCTTCCCAAAAATTATGGTTTTTATAATTTTAAAATGTGAAATTGCGAAAAATTCCCTTTGAGGTAAAGATGTTGACTTTTGTTGACCGTCTTGTCGTGTCACGTAAGATTTGTTTTCTTAACGTACACTCGTAGTACTTGTCGCTACGAAGAGGTGGGCGCAAACAGAACACAATTTGGAGTTATAACGAAAGAGATATTAACGTTTAAAGTCGGGGACATTTTTAGTAAATTGATTATTTTCTAGAAAGCTCCAGATTTTTGGAGCAAAATCTGGAAAGCCATGTGTGTGGCCCAGATTGAATGAAAGAAGAAACGGATGGTTGGAAGAAGAGATAAAAGAGAGAATAATGAGGGGCAGGACGCCCAACCAGAAAGAAGAGAAGAGAGAGTGACCAATATGGAGAGCAGGAAAGGAAAGGAAAGGAGAGAGTGGAGGAGCACCGGATCACCCTTGACTCGATTCCTCCCTGTTGACTCGACCCGTTCCGCGTTATTCTGACGTGATTTTTGTTTTTTTTTTTGTTAAATCCCCGCTTATCCACCACCTGGAAAACATTCCATGATCTCCCATCTTCCATTTCCAATCAAATTTCACTAGATTTAGCCTTGATTTCGTGAAGAATGAAACCTGTGGGTTCCGGGGGCGCCACGGCGGAAATCCGACGATCGTGAAGCTAACTCCGTCAACCACCATCACCAATGGACTCTCCTCAACCTCAGGAACAATGCCTAAGCAATGGTTAAGGCGTCAGAGCTTGTTTGGAGTTGAATCAAGAACAACCAATTTTTAGGTTTCCGATGGGTTCTAGTGAAATTGAGGCTTTTCCCGGCCTATTTGGTCTTAGTCACAGTACAAAAGTTGTTCCTCTAATTGAGATCTTCATTCCTATAAAATTTGGAAATTTTTGGAGTTGTTCGATTTTCTGGCAAGTCGGCCGAATTCAAATTCGCTGTCTATTTTCCCAGATTCTATCATTTAGGTATAGTTTTACTAAAAGGTGTCTAATTATGTTTAGACGCGTTGGTGGGAAGTGATGTCATTCTCGATAGTTCGAGTGGCTTTCGGGTAATGGAAAACTAGTGAGTGGACCCCTTCATAACTTATATATTTTTATAAAATATTAGCCTCACATGCATTTCATATTTTATGAATGGAGCATGATTTGTAATAAGTTTTACGAATTTTCATACTTATGATTTATTTGGATTGCCTTTATGAAATAATTATAATTTATCGAATTTATATATTACTAAAGGTTATGAATCATTGAATTTTTAGTTATGAATTTCTATGGATTTCGAATATGATTTATTCTGCAGGTTTACAAATATGAGATTCCATGGATTTATGAATGTAATTTATCTTGGATTTGAGAGACTTAAGTTTTGAACTCCGGACTTGATTTGAGTTTTGAGATATGTTTTTGGTACTTACCTAGTGGGTTATCATACGACACATCCGCACATCACGGGTATTGTCTATGGCCATAGGACACATATGATGGAGGAGTGAGATATGATTTATTATATACCTCCAGCTTCACCGCCGAAAGCGGTGTTGGACAGCTTCACTAGCTACGGCTAGTGTCGGTGTGGATATATGCTATTTTATACAGCTTCACCTTCGGGTGATGGATAGGTACTGCCTTCAGGCAACTATGATACCCCTAGTTGAGTACTTCACTTATATGATTTACAGAGGTTTTACGAATGTTTTACATGGCATGCTAGGGTTTTTCATAAAACCTATATGTAGAATTATATATATATATATGTTTTCAAAACAGGAGGTTACTATGTTCATAAAGAAAATGGTTTTTCTATTATTAATAGTATTATTATAAACTTTGGTCCACTCACCTTTTTTGTTTTTGCACCTGCCCAGGAGTTAGGATTGAGGCACATGATCCTGGTGTCAGGGCACTTCGACTTAGTTATCCTCGAGTCTTCTCAATATAGGTATCATTTCCTTGTTCATATCTTTTCTTAGTAAACCTTCCATATTATTCTTAGTAATTGTATGCTCTGAACATGATTCTGCATCGGTTTATATCTTTCTAATTAAATATTTTATCGGTATATATGTTTTTAATGGCTTTGTCACCCTCGGGTGTCGGCCAGCATGTGCCTACCTTGGTATTTGGGGATATCAGGGTTGAGGCGCGTCAAGTTCGATGCAAATTTATTTCTCTCATCCATTAGTATAGATATATCATTGTATTTGAATAATTAAAATAAATAAGTGCGTCTCATACTGAAAATATGTGTTCCACTTCCACTTGAACAAGGTATCCTTTTCATTTTCTAATTTAGATTCCACAAGCGCTTAGATGGAAACTACTAATGACTCGAGAGCCTCAAATGCTGGTGAGATCTAACGTGGAAACATCATCGATTTGTCGGAATGACAAGGAATCAAGACAAACAAACACCAAGAGGATAAAGATCTCACCGTGACGCAAGAGATGGCAGGGGTTCAACCTTGAAAGGCTGCCGGATGGAGGAGATATGCCTAGGCCCCCTCCACCAATGATGTTCCGTTCTCAAGAAATGATGTTGCTGAATCAGTTGTCAAGCGAAGAAGAAAGTAAAGCTTATCAACACTTGTAAGACAAAAATGCTCAGCAGAATAGCTAACATAATTCATTCATAATTCAAGCTACATCATCGCGGAGAACATGATTCATAAGAACAATGTTCATATTATGAATCGTGTGCCATCATTTTCGCATAAATATCGCCTAGGATCGTAGTGAGCTATTGTGTGAAGATCCATATTGGAGGAGTCTTTACTGTGTGCCATAGTTTTGAAATAAACATCATTCTTTTGCTGCTCGTAGTAAGCCCTTGCACGTGACTCCATGTTAGTGGTGTCTATACTCATAATTCGGTCATCATGCTCTCTTTGCTCCCATTCATTCGCTTCCTCCATCACCTTTACCTTTCTTTCTGCAATTTTTGCTTTCTGTCATCTGTTTTGGCCAATTGTTTGGTAAGCTTCTCCATTATGTCACATAAATGAGAATCCAAAGTTTCTACTACCTTGCTTCTTTTGTAACAAACCGTTCCGGGATTTATAAAACAAAAAGGGTATTTTTATATTTTCACTAAGTTTGGGGATATTTTCATTTAAAAATGGTTTTTGGGGTCTTACTTGGTGAGCCCAAGGGGCCCACCTCCTGATTTGTCCCCCAGTTCCCTTCCCTTTTCTTTTATTTTTCTGAAAACTCTCTCTTTATTCTCTCTTAGTTCTCTCTTCTCTCTTATTCTCCCTCTGTGATCTCTCCCTTCTCTCTCTCGAAACCCTCTCACCCTCCAATCCACCCACACACACACCCTTACCATTTACCTGCAACACCATCACCATCACCCCTGCGAACTAAGATTCAAAGAAAGAGCACCACAAACCCTCCTCTTCCTTTCAGCCGGTACTGTTCATCTTCTTCTCCGTCGTGTTTTGTATTTTTCTGACGTTGCTAAGCTTCTAAAAACCTTTGGATGTGTTTTAGGGTTAGATCAAAACTTGTTTTAAGTTGTGTATAGGCTTGAATCGCAGAAAATAGCTCGGAGTAGCTTTTCCAAAGTTGTGTATATGCTTGAATCGCAGAAAATAGCTCGGAGTAGTTTTTCCAAATTTTTCGATAAACACCGCCCCTTTCGAGGCAATTTCCGGCCAAACCACGACGACTACTACAACTTTCCTTTGCAAGGTATCAATCTCTTCGTCTCGCTGAGTACTACAACTTTCCTTTTCGTCTCACCCAATTTCGTTGCATATTGAATAAGTTATGGGAGTTTAAAGTTTGCCCAAAAACCGGCCAAAACCTTGGCCTGAAAATGGGTCAACCCGACCCATTAACCTAAGGTCCAACCCAATTACCCAAGCCCAAGTTTGAAATCCAAACCCAGGCCTTTGGGCTGGATCACTAAGCCCAAACCCTTTAAGATCCAACCCAGTTTCCTTTTATTTAATTTTTCTTTATTTTTATTTTCAAACCCAAAACCCCCAAGCCCAAAACTCAGACCCAACCCTGATCCAAGCCCAGACTCTGTCCCTTGACCCGTTGACTTTGACCCGGTTTACAGTCATCGTTGACTTTAACTTTGACTAGTCAACAGTCAACATTGACTTTGACTTTGACCAGTCAACGGTCAACATTGACTTTGACTGTTGACTTTTTAGGTGTGCGGGACCTCTCTTAGGCTAATTTCGACGTCCTGAACTCGTTTTTGAAGTCTGTTTTTCCAAATTCAATCGTTTGAGTAGAGTTTGACTAAGTACCATTTATGTGCTTAGGGACAATTATTTGTGGCGTTTCCGTTTTCACTAGTTGCGTGGCTCTTCGGCAGAAAAGTACTGTGAATGCCCCCTTTCTA